CCGGCGCGCGCCAGCAGGGCGGACAAGCAGGCGCGGGCCGCCGACGCGCGCGCCGAGCGCTTGCTGTGACCCCAGCCTTCGGAGCATGCTCTCCACTGCAGGAGTTCCCTCTAACTTGCTAGAGGCAAATGGAGGCTTTGACTTACACTCATACCACCATAAGCTGGCTACGCGTAGCGTGCAGCTAACTTACTATGTAGCAAGAATCTGCAGCTTGACCTTCTCCTGAGTGATCTGTCATTGGACCCGCAACGAAATTAGACACTTATAGGAGTTCTCATTTCGTAGTTCCTACCACTGCTAGCTACTCTTCTGCAGCCAGGATCTACTGCTTGACTGTCAATAACATTCCAACCCGTGAGGGCACAAGTTTGTCCCAAGATTCAAAGTCGCTTGAAGGCACTAAAGTTTCTTCTTGCACCTAGCACCTAGCTAGGCTCATCCCTAGCAATTCTGTTACTGGGGAGCTCCTGCTAGCTAGAAACTGAAAGGCATGCTCGCATATACTTACACAACTCTCAACCGCTGCAACTCCTGTCTAGCCTAGATCTATCTTTCTCCCTCTTCTCTCACTTACCTGGTGCCCTGCTGGGCTCGTCCCTGGTAATTTTGCAACTGGGGAGCTTTGGCATGCTCGCATATTCTTGAGAACCTTCCCACCGCTGCAACTCCTGTGTAGCCAAGACTGCTGCAACTCCTGTGTAGCTAGGATCTGCTGCAACTCCTAGATAGCCAAGATCTGCTGCAACTCCTGTGTAGCCAAGACTGCTGCAACTCCTGTGTAGCCAGGATCTACCTTCATCCCTCTTCTCTCTCACCTGGCATCCTCCCGGGCTCGTCGCTGGTGAAGTCCTGCTGCTTTGGTGGGCATAAGCTGCTCTTCTCCACTGTCCCTTCATCTTGCCTCGTCTCCTCTTTGATGTAAGAAGGATCCTATAAAGCTCGTTCCCTAGTGTCCCCTCACCTGGCATCCTCCCGGGCTCGTCGCTGGTGAAGTCCTGCTGCGGGCCGGCGCCCGGTGCCNAGCAGGCTACGCGTAGCGTGCACTCTTACTATGAAGCCAGGATCTACAGCTTGACTGTCAATAAGATATCAACCAGTGAAGACCCAAGTTTGTCCCAGGATCCAAAGTCGCTTGAAGCCTAGCACTTAGCTAGGCTCGTCCCCGGTAATTCTTGAACTGGGGAGCTCCTGCTAGCTAGAAAGCATGCTCGCATATTCTTGTAAAGCTTCCCGGCGCTGCAACTCCTGTGTAGCCAAGGCTGTGTGTTGCCAGAGCTGGAGAAGAAGGGGGAAGATAGATCAAGATCTATCTTCCTCCCTCTTCTCTCACTTACCTGGTGCCTTGCTAGGCTCGTCCCTGGTAAAGTCCTGCCGCTATGGTGGAAATAACCTGCCCGCCTATGTTCAGCAGTGGACGACCTGTGTCTGAAATGATGATGATGAACTTGCCCGCTATGTAGCTCGTCTCCGCACGTTTCGCCTCGTCTCGCTATGATGTAAGAAGGATCCTATAGAACTGTCCCTCTTCTCTCTCACCTGGCATCCTCCCGGGCTCGTCGCTGGTGAAGTCCTGCTGCGGGCCGGCGCCCGGTGCCGGCAGCACGCGGCCGGCGCGCGCCAGCNGGACAGGCAGGCGCGGGCCGCCGACGCGCGCGCCTCGCGTTTGCTGTGACCCCAGCCTTCGAAGGTCATGTCCGCTACCTGGAAAGGTTCCAAATTGTAAGGCTCATTCAGTGGCGTAGCTACCAAGGGGCTTTAAGCTCAAGTGCCTTTGAATCCTTACCAGAAAATATCAATCGAACTGGACTTTTGAAAATTTCCCCCATTTTCAAAATGGAGAGAAATTCTAATAACTAGGGAATTCCCCTAATTTCTTTCTGTGGGTTGGCAGTGTTGTCAATTTGACGGATAGCGAATGTGCCTTTTTTGCGAAAAGAAAAGTAACACCCTCACACTAACATTAATTATGCATATCTTGTGTTGCTGTGTAAATTGAGACAATTATACTCGTTCGTTTCAGCCAAATGACGTCCACTTCTGGACAAAGGCCTCCCTCCAAGGTTTTCCACAATGCGCGGTCCTGCGCTGTCCGCATCCAGGCTCTTCCCGCGACCTTTATTTACCAGATCGTCGGTTCACTTAGTAGGAGGCCTGCCCGCAGGAGAACCAAAGTGACCGACATAGCTCGCAGAATTGCTAAAATCAAGCGGCAGTGGGCGGGGCACATAGCTCGTAGAGACGATGGCCGTTGGGGCAGAAAAGTTCTCGAGTGGCGACCATGGGCTGGAAGACGTAGCGTGGGCAGGCTTCCTACTAGGTGAATTATACTCACATCGACCCAATAACATCTTTTATTGCTACACTACAGATGTGAGTTTGCCTGTAGTAAATTATAGAGGGTTGTGATTACTGTAGAATTTCAATGACTTGATGATCTTACAGATGCAAACGACACAATTAAAATTTGAAAATTACGTCTAAACTTACCTTAACTTTCATACAGAACCACGGCTCATGGTCAGAGCCGGTCTTATAGGCGTAACTGAACTCAAAACCCGTTCCAAGTTCATTCAACACCGATATAGGACTCTTATACTTCAGGTCTACCTCAGGGATCGATTTTAAGTCCAGCAAGTTTTTGTCGTTCAATTTATTTGTTAACATCATTTTGATGATTACTGTTCGACTAATTGATTTGTCACCACACTATTAACTGGTAATTCTAATACACTTCTTTGTAAAGCACAATTAAATTTAAATTAACATTTTACTACAAAATATAACACTAAGCACTTAAAATGTATCTACTATGGGCACAAGACACCTAAAAGGTTGTTTATTTACTTTAAATTGGCGTCTGTAAGTTTTTTACGTTTAAGATTCTAGTTTATACATATTAGGCAATAAATAACGCGTTATAAGATTGCATACTTTCATGCCATCTTCATTATTAAAGCTTAACACCAGATCTGGTTGATCTTTATGTTCATCTACCCTCCAAAACGGGACTATTCCCACCTCCCGTTCTCACAACTCCTGTGTAGCCAGGAGCTACAGCTTGACCACCAATAACCCAACCAGTGAAGGTCAAGTTCGTCCCGGAGGAAAGTTAAACTGTCATGTTATGAAAAAACTTCACGAAAACTCCTAGTTTTTATCTAAGAAATTAGTTTTACATTAACTTTTAATATAGAAATTATCTTAAATACTGCACTCTACTACATGAAGGCTTTGAATGAAATAAAATAAATTACACCGCACTTTTAACAGTCACTTGAACACAAACATTACTATGAGGTCGCACAGTCCGCGTGGACGCACAGGGTGACACACGAACCAATCACAGAGCTCTATTCAACGCTGTGCGTTCGATTTGCTGCTTCGCCGTTAGACTGCTACCACAAAAACGTAAATAACACTGATACAAAAATATAAAAAATGCGGTGGTCGACTATCACTATCTCGAAAATTCAATTATCTTTATGATAAGATAAAGGTGTGGACTGACTATCGCACCGCAAAAAAGTAAATCAAATCAACAAATATGTATTTATTCGGTTTAATGGCTTCAAGGGTGCGTATTTGAATCACCCTGTTTCGCCAAGGTCAGCTGGTAGAAAATGATTTATGGCATTAAACTCGCCTTTTTGTACTGAACATTGTTGTGTGTGCAATAAAGTTTTTAAATAAATAAATAAATGTTTAAGGAGACACGGTGGACAGTGACATTTGAAGATTGCCCGGTGATAAGTTTGTATGGATGTCTAGATGTTTAAATGTCTGGATGTTAACATGTTTGTTACTCTTTCACGCAAAAACTAATTAACGGATTTTGATGAAACAAGTTTGGATTGTGGCGGATAGTCACCACAACAGTATTATTGTTTATGACCTAGAATAACATATAGGCTATAATTTATGCTGATCTGTGACACTAAATTTCACGCAGGTGAAGCCGCGGGCAAAAGCTATTTTTCAACACTAATATTATAAAGAGGAAAGATTTCATTGTTTGTTTGTATTGCATAGACTGGACCGATTTCAAAAAATCTTTCACTATTAGAATATTTTCAAAAAGGGCGGTAGTAAGTTCGCCAATTACTTGTTTTCGAAACGGTTCGTTGTTCGTCGTGCGAATGTTCGCAAACAGTGAGTTAGCACCTTAACGTTAAAAAAAACAACACAATCTGCAAGTTTGTAAGGCACTTCAATTGTTGCCACTTGACATTCAACTCTATTCCCATTAGATAACGTTCAAAACATATTAAACGTTTCTTTGCACTGACAAGTCTTTGTTTTATATCTCAATTATTTTAATTGGTAACTAAATTAGGAAGTTATTTTAGAATGTTGTGATACTACTTTGTATTTATGCTAAAAAAAAGTCATTGTTTCTGTTCTGTGACGTCACTTAACACGTTAACTACCGCATGACGTTTCCTTTAGCTCGTTCAGTGCTGACCAAGAGACTTGTTGCAAGAATTGGCTATTTGAGACTATTCTCCAATAATCCTAAAGGACAACATTTTTAAAAACACTTTATTTTGGTCAGGGGGCCGGGTGGTCACGGACCCCTCGGAGTTTCACTTGGACCCCCGCTCGTTCAGCGCTGACAAGGTTGTGCTGTAAGTGGCTCACAGTGACGGCATTTGGTATGGCCCCCTCGGTGTAGTTTCACTTGGACCCCCGCCCTTTCAACGCTGACCTGTGTGTGCGGCTGTGAAGCGACTCAGAGACGGTGACTGTATGGCCCCCCTAAGTAGTTCACTTGGACCCCTAGCTCGTTTAGCACTAACAACTTTAACAAGAATGTGCTAAGAATACTTGATGCCCTAAGCAATCCACAACCATCCACTGCAGTCCACACCTGTGCTAACCCCCTATCCATAAGTATCGTATCTGTGAAACTGGAACACTAAGCCGGGCCTCCCTGTTGTAAACGGCGTATTTCTCCCGGACCCCTAAATCTGGGACTGGTGCGTGGGTGAGGTACTTACTGTAACAGCGACTGTGAAACTCGGGCAGTGGGCCGGGCCCCCCTGCTGTAAGACAGTGTAGTTCACTCGGACCCCCAACTCATTCAGCGCAGACACCGGCGATTTGCCGCCCGTTTCCACAGCGTCCGCTGCGTTTGCCAGCGCCTGGAGAAAAAAAACCCGTTAGGTACTGTCTAGGTCATAGTACGCAGAACTGACAGCCGATGGGGCAGCAAGGTTCTGGAGTGGAGGCCGCGTACCGGAAAACGCAGCGTGGGACGTCCACCCACAAGGTGGACCGACATCATAAAGGTAGCAGGAAGGCGCTGGACGCAGGCCGCTACCAACCGGGCAGCATGGAAAGCATTGGGGGAGGCCTATGTTCAGCAGTGGACGTCCTATGGCTGAGATGATGATGATGATGGTGATGAAGACTGTCTAGGAGCCCTTTCTAGGTTATCCGGTTTTGTTGGATCCCGCATCAAGTAAGTTAACACTGTTACTCAATGCCACTTTTTTTTCAAGTTCAAACACATATGTGTGTTCAATTTTATTCGGATCAGTTCTTTGCGGGACACTGCAACAAACAGGATAAACTAAACGGGGTCCTGCAAAAAACAGGAAGTCTCTATTCTGGTAAATACAATAAAAAAAGAATCTGACAATAATGAGTGTACTACATGAATAAAATACATCTAAAAAAATGTACCTGTAAATTCCACTTGAATCCTGCCTCCAGTTTGATTGAAGGCGCAGACTTTTTTGACGGGGGCTCTCCATCTAAAATATTAACAAATAATTAATAAAAAGTCTATAAACAACTGTATTATAAATCGTATTTAATTTATTATTAGTTTAGACGTGTAAAATAAATAAATCCAACAAGCTACATCCGTTAAGGCTATATGGCAAAAATATAAATACATAAACACTGTAGTATTTAACGAAATACAGAAGTATACCGAATAATACAGATAGTAAAATGCTTTTGTCTGCGTCTATACCTACTGCCTTGAAATTCCGTTAAGTAATATCTAATGTAAGAATTTTCAAAATCTGTCCAGCAAACGGACGAGTATCGGCTCAATGTGTGATTTGAAAGAATTCTGGCTAGCTCAAAAAACAATTTATCTACAAATTAAACAAATTTTCACCGAAGTAGTTAATCAAACTACTTCGGTGAAAATTTGATGATGGGATTTATGTAAAGAACAATATTAATTAACATTTTTTTTAAGTCTTACAACTAAATACGAATTTTAAAACCAATGCTCTGCGATTTTTTAATAAAACAAAGAATTTGTGTAACAAACCATGATGATTAGCAATAAATATTTTAGCATTGAGTAATTTAAATAAATACGAAATGTCTAACCTATATTATGTCAAATCCGTTACATTTGGTTTAAAAAAATGCAAACAGTTAACTGATTTTTTCACTAAAAGTAGTTACGTTAAAAGGATTTTTAAATTTCAATTTTCCTAGCCACAAATCTACTTATAAAAATAAGTCGGGTTTTCCTCCCTGACGCTATAACTCCAGAACGCACGAACCGATTTCCACGGTTTTGCATTCGTTGGAAAGGTCTCGGGCTCCGTGAGGTTTATAGCAAAGAAAATTCAGGAAAAATTTAAAGGGGTTAAAACGGGATCCACGCGTACGAAGTCGCGGGCGGCCGCTAGTATATTAATAAATATCGATATTCGATTGTGAAACCTAGTAAAAAAAATACTTACCTTCGCCAAACTTCAATTCAATGTCAATAATATCACACATGCTTAATCGTCGGTTAATTAATTAAAATAATTAAAAAAATTCACAATAACAATACAATCAACAATTAAATTAATTAGCACACTTTTTACAGTTAAAAATGTGTTTGCCACGCGCGTCAAACTGTAACTGACGAAATGTGAAAACGAACGGCGATTTTTCAAAGTTTTTCTTCGACTACCCGCGGATTTTTAAAAAAAATTCATTTTGAGTTTTTAAAAGAAGTCGAGGCAAAGGACTGTATGAATACTATTCCAAGTTTTTTCACGAGTACCCGCAGTATTTTTTTTAAATTCCATGTTGTTTTTAAAAGGGGTTTAGGCAAAGGAATATATGAATATAAATGTTTTGTTAATTAAGATAAAGCAAAGGATTAAATGAATATACATACTCCCATATTTTTTTAAGAGTAGATAGTTTAGGTTTAGTCGCCCGTATGCGAATGATCGTAGGATCAAATCCCATTTGGGACAGTTAACTATTTATGTGAAAATCCTATTTTCAATAACGGATTTGATGAAACTTTTTAATGATTATAGCTTAAAGACTAGAAAGCAGACAAAAAGTCTAGTCTGCAGGGTATTTAAGGAGATGTAAGTTTGTACAAAGAAATCTCTGGAACTACTGAACCGATTTTGATAATCACGCTACATTATTCCTGAGTGATACACACCATAACAATAAAATCTAAGCTCTAAGCCTTAAAACCTACAAAATTGATTATTCCACTTTGTTCATCTGGGTGAATTATCACCTGGGTGAAGAAAGTAGTACGTTTCTTGAGCTTGGCACCGACTCTAAGAATATCAATCATGGTCATAATAATTATCCTAATTAAATAAAGAATTTAATTTATTGTTCTTTTGTACTTACATTATTATTTTTTTCAATATTTGCACGACTAATTAAGTCAACATGTGGACATGCCAATTGTAATAATAATATCTTGTAAAACCATGTAAAAGCAAATAAATATTTCTGATTTCTGATTTCTTAATTATTTTCCTACTGCTTAGTGTACTTTTTTTGAGTCAGTTTAATTTTTTAAAGTCGTCTAACCTATTCACGAAGGCGAGTGAGCTTTTTTTACACTTTCACTACTGTTCGTCTTTCAAAAGTTTTGTCAGACATTACACTATCGTCATGTGCATGTTTACTACACACAAGTAAAGCTCACTCGCCTTCGTGAGTTGCAAAAACTAAAAGCAGTCCCGAAGCAGTGGTAGGGTTAATATTGGGACGTGTGAAAGTGCTTTTTAAAAGCCTATTTACAAAAATAAATGAGTTTTAGAGTTTTTTAGTTTTATACAACACTAGCTTTCCGCCCGCGGCTTCGCCCGCGTGGAATTTTGTCTGTCACAGAAAAACTTTATCGCGCGCGTCCCTGTTTCAAAAACCGGGATAAAAACNACGATCTGTGACAAACTAAATTTCACGCGGGTGAAGCCGCGGGCGGGCAAAAGCTAGTTCGTTGGTTCGTTCGTTACAGCCAAATGACGTCCACTGCTGGACAAAGGCTTCCCCCAAGGTTTTCCTAGTAGTAGGTACTTAAATAAAATAAAAGTTTGTAAATATGGATATTCGTTATACCTTCACGTGAAAACTACTAAACGGATTTACAATAATTGTAAGAAGTAATACCTATCTGGAACTACTGAACCAATTTTGAAAATTCTTTCATTAGTAGAAAACTAATTTTTTTTTGACAGGACTGTCCCGCTGAGAAAGCTACAATATTCCTGCCTGAGTGACATGGGCAAAAACTTTTTGTCAGGCCAAAATTACTGCGAAAAAGCACAGATACTTCCAGTTTATTTAGATCCAGTTTCTGAATTAAGATTTTTAGCTTGAGCATGCTCAATAATGCTCATTTCCAATCAAGTAGGAACTTTTCAAATAATTCATCCTTGAGTAGAAAATGAGCATAATTTTACTTTATACACTCGCGAGCAAAATGATGGAAAACAAATAGGTGTTTTGAGCGATCTCCGTTCCACACTTTTGCTCGTAGTATATACCCTAAGAGCTAGTGAACGCCAGACCCACGTCATTTTATAAAAACTGAAAGTTTGTCAGCGTATGCTCCCAATATAGGATATAATGATGGTGAATTATGAAGTTTGGGTCATCGTGGCTTTGGCAGCTACCCTAAAAAAACTGTCTGGCAAGGAGTTGGAACTGTCAAAACTGTCTGGCGTTTACTAGCTCTTAGTGTAATAGTTTCTACTCACAATATCCTTTCCCAGAGTATTGTCTCTTCTTTCTATAGTCCTTCTTCAACGGCTGCTGCATCATGCCTGTCGCGTTGCTTGTGTACTGAAATAATGGCGGATGCGCACGAGTGGTTATCGTAAACGTCTTNAACGTCTTATGACGTTGGAGTAGGCGTTGTTTTTGAACGACAATGTAGGAAAATTAGAACTTTCGTGTGCCATTTTAACTAAGGCGATTATCACACTGCACCGCGCTCCGCCGCGGTACGCGGGACGACAGATCTGATCATTATGGCTGGTTTTAGAGTCGCGCTGATCGTCGGCGCTGACAGTTCAATATGTACGTAATTGAAGGAAACGTTCCTGAGTGACGCTGATCGCTCGGCGCCGACGCTTCATACAATTCGACTGTCAGCGCTGACGGTCAGCGTGCGTCAGCGTGACTCTAAAACCAGCCTAAATGCAAGTACCTCAGTTTGTATAGAAAACACGCGCGGCACAACACGCTGATAACGCGTTTGCGCGCGGACCGCGGCGGAGCGCGGTGCAGTGTGATAATCGCCTAACTCATATAAAAAATGCCGCGTTGAGACTCGTGTTTCTATATTTTAACGTAGGAAAACTTTTAATAGATCAGCAACGAAGAAATGTTGCAGCCAAATGACGTCCACAGCTGGACAAAGGCCTCTCCAAGGATATCCACGACCGGTCCTGCACTGCCCGCGTCCGTGCTTCCTTCCTTCACCAGATCGTCGGTCCACCAAGGAGGGTAACGTTATTATAAATAATAGATGCAAAAACTGGCAAAATACACTTTGAACGCGTTTACCAATCGCTCCGTAGATATGCAGTCGCCCGGCAAGCAAAAGGTCATGGGTTCACCCGCCTGTGGCAGTCGATTCTTTATTTTATGTTTCCCATTACCATGTATTCTCAATAAAGTCAAGATACACCATAGAATAGTCTCATGTGACCGCTTAAAGGACGTAGCACACTTATCAACCCGCAAAGGGATCGTAACCGTATCAACTCGAGGCGGTCAGTATGTTTTATATGAAACTCCATACTGCAACGCACACTTAACCGCACCGTAACGTAAACGCTTCGTCTCGCGGTTGATTAGCGACAGCCCATACTGGACGAAAATCGCAGCGACTAGACGCGACTTGTCAATTTCATACAAGCTAATCAATCATCATCGTCATCATCATCTCAGCCATAGGACGTCCACTGCTGAACATAGGCCTCCCCCAATGCTTTCCATGTTACCCGGTTGGTAACGACCTGCGTCCAGCGGCTTCCTGCTAACTTTATGATTTCGTCGGTCCACCTTGTCGGTGGACATCCCAAGCTGCGTACAAGCTAATATACGAATACAAAATCGTCTAAAGTGCGCTGTCGCTGACAGATCGCGAAAGGGGATACGGTACCGTGTTGATCCCTTTCCGAGTCGATAAGTCTGCTTTGACCTTAATATTCCAAGAATTGGTATTAAAGTACTTGAGTTAATACAACAGAACTTTTTATTTTGGAAGTGTTCAAGGAATAGCACAATAAGCTTGTTATCAATAAAGATATAAAATATGAATGAGACTTTGTATGTTCACATTTTGAACAATTTCCTTATTTGACTTAAGACTAAGACCCGTATTCACAATGCTTGCTTAAGTGAAGCAGCAAATCGAACGCACAGTGTTGAATAGAGGTCTATGTGTGACCCTGTGCATCCACGCGCACTGTGAGACCTCATAGTAATGTTTGTGAATACGGGCGTATCAACATGATGTTATTAGTTAAAAATACAACATGGCATTACTAAAATCATTGATAAAGAACTTCAGGAACTGTATGAATGTATCTGTATTTATACTGATGAGTCATTTATAAAAAATATGTTATCACTTCACATTATTTTGTTGATAAACAAAGACAAAGCTGCTTTAAAAGATGGGTCTACCTTTTTTTTCTTTCTTTGAATACCTACTATGCATATCTTTTAGATCATTGGTTCCCAAACTTATTTGAGACGTGTCCCCTTTCGACTATACAAAAACTCCGCGCCCCCCTCCTCCAGTCAAGATTATTTATTGGTCGTATCGAGCAGTCTGAAATGCATTCTCTCAGCAGTCGCAGGTTTTTATACTTATATACACAGATGGCCCGCGCCCCCCTTTAAAGGTCTTTGCGCTACCCCTGGGGGGCGCGCCCCCCACTTTGGGAACCAATGTTTGAGATGGTAGCACTTTTAATGTAACAGCATGTTAAATTATATGTAGTAGTTGGTAAATCTTCATGATAAATAAAAACATTATAGGTAAAAAATCTATTAAAAACATGATGTACTTACCACAAAACCAGTGTGGTGATTCATACTCACCCATTCACCATACGTCTCTGGAATATGAATGACTAAATAAATAACCAACGTAACACATTAGTAAACTAGTAACGTAAATACACAAAGTCCAATTAGAAGGCTGAGTGCGGAATTAGCTCCGCCAAATGCACATCAACACACTACAAGCCAACAGTTTAGTTTTTAGAGGGGGGGACGAACTGCTCGAACAAAAATTGGCACTTTAAACTTATATAATTTACAAACAGATCCCTAAATGGAAAAATAGTCTTAGAAACATCTAAGCCATTTTAAAAGACCTATTCAATGATACCCCACACGATGGGGTAGAAGATTAAAAACAAATCATCCCCACTTTACATGTAGGGGAGGTACCTTAACCTTTAACCGACGACGTGATTTTTTTGTCACGTCGTCTGCGACGTGCGGTCTGTGGGACCGCTATACTGTGTATTCAAAAAATAATCATTTTTTGTATAAAAGTATATTGGTTTTATACTTTTTGAGAACATTATAGTATTACAAATAAACATACTAATAATTTGTGAGGAAATAATGTATATTTTTTATTTAAATATGGCTAAAACTTTTTTGACCCTTAATTTCATTGAAATTACACTAGAGCTCAATAATACCTTTAAATCTTGTAAATTTTAACCAAATCAAGAAAAACTATACTTCTTCCTAAATAAAGTGAACATAACGAATAAAATAAAAATAAATGACACGTACATTATATGCACAAAAAAAATTTTGACGTAGGGTAAACATTAGGCACAATCTGGACATATTTTTTTACCACATGCCAAGCATTTTCGGTATGCATAAGTAACACCTGTAAGATAATTTCGTTTGCAATCTAGGTGGACTAAAATGTACGTCTTTTTTGCAATGACATCAGGCTGATTTGGCATGTCAGAGCCAATAATCATGTCACTGTTTGCTTTACCACCCGTTCCGCGGTATTTTTTTACAGACTACCATCTTTTACATAATATTATGTCCTATTATCAATATATCATTAGGAAATGTCTTTCTCTAGGTTGTGATGGCCCAAGGTCCATCATTTTTACAAAAAATCAGTCGTCTAAAACAATAACGCAAGTTTCAGTATGGTACAAAAATGTTACGTAGTCTGCGACGTGCGGTCCCACAGACCGCTATTGAACTTTGAATCCAATTATCTTATTAAAACTGCGCTCATCGATGTAACCACTACCTGTAATGGCGTATGGGTAACTAAACTCGAAGGTACTGAGACTCTCGGGACACGGGAGTAAGTAGAACATTGCAATCCAAAAATTTCAAAAACCGGAGCGGTCTGTGGGACCGCACGTCGTCGGTTAAAGGTTAAAAAAATATTATTCAAAATTTTATTTTACCGTTTTGTCGGCGTGATTAACTTACATACCTCCACAAAATTACAAATTACAACTCCCTAGTGCCAATAGTTTCCAAGCAATACCTCGGACAGACAGACAGACAGACATATCGAAACTAAGGGTTCCTTGTCAGGACTACGGAACCTTAAAAAACTACTTCTTGACACAAGTCTAGCGCATAACTGAGTTAATGATTGAGGTATGGGAGTGACACTACTAGACAAAGGCCTCTCTTAAGGATGTCCCGACAACCAGTCAAGTCACACCCAGTTTCTGGCCTAGGGAAGCACAAGTCCGATTTTTTTAGGTCAATTCGTTCGACTTAGCTTCTCCGACTATAGCGCTTTTAGGCGAGTTGATATTATTTTCTGCAAGATTTCCAGGGTGGGGCAGCTGCCCTTCTCTGTCCCCCCTGGGTACGTCCATAAAACAAGTAGTAGGACTCAAGATCATCCAATTGGAGCCCCAAAACTACACAGGTTCATCAATAAATTGGAAACCAATTAGAATTGTTGAGACTGACAACACCACAGGTGTGAATAATCAAGGTTTCAAGGTGTGTGAAGCTATCTATAAGTAACCCTATCCTCTGACCAATAATTTTAAACATATTTGCTGTTATTGAACACAGAAAACCTATAATTTACTAGCAAATAAGTTGAGGCATCCTTCAAATGTTGTTTTAGAAGAAGGGCTTTCCCCTAAAGATCTAATAAGATTCAAAGATATGGCGGCCGAGCGACCTGAAAACATGCGCGAATGCAATCGTCGCAAATGTATAAATGTATCGTTTATTATACACGTAAACTTCTCTACATGTATTATTCATGCAAATAATATCCTATATTATACAGCGACATGCTAAACTTTCATTAAAAATTCACACAAAAAAGGAAAAAAGCTTTAAAAATTTAGCGTGTGCGAAAGAGTGATATTGTCGCGCAAATTTCATAGGTTATCGGCTGATTTTTATTAATATTTCACACGCTTTCGCTATATTATGGAGTACACTAAGTATCTTAAAAGAAATACTCACCCTCTTCATCCAAAATCAGCAGGAAATTATCTAAATCCTTGCAGCGGGAAGCGATAACATAGAAACAGTTCAATAATATTTTACGATAGTTCTCAGCACAAGTAAACCACTAAAACTTTTTCAGGCGATACGCAAGTCTTTTGAAGATGCTAATAAATGCGAATTTCGAGTTTTAACGCTTAAAACTTACCATTTTCAGAAATTTTCAGCGCAAACAACACATCACACAAGACATCAATACATTGTTTGACTTGACATTTCAGCATTTTCAGCTTCGTTCAGAAACACAGTAAAAAATACATTCACACCAAAGCGAACATGGCTTTCTTTTCTTGCGAATGTTTTTATAATTATTAAGTAAAACGATTACCTAATTAATGTGCAAAATAATTAAATATTTACTTACATCTTATAAATAATCAGGGATCGCTGAACAGAAAAGGCGAGGCGAGGTTTTGACACTTTAACAAATTAAATTATGGTTGACACAATGCGCGCCAAACTTAAATTTTTTCAACAGTTGAACTTTGCAAGCAAGCAAAGTTAATTGATAGATAAATGCATCGCTTTTAACAATCTCTAAAATTGTACCAGGAAAATTCAAAATAATTAAGAGCTACTAGGATCTAGAATAAATATACAACATAATTTTGTTAAATTTTATTATTTCTACCATAATATATTTGGTTGTTTCTAATAATTAGATTATGGCACATTTCTACAACATTTAAGTAACAATATAACATTTTAATACACTTAACTACTTACTACCTTTACAAATACATTTTAAATGCCTACAAATTAAATCTTAGAGTGAGTAAATGCAAGTTTTAATAGGTACTTAAATTAAATATTGTCTAATACATAATATTATCATAGATAATTATTTTTAAAACTATACACTATTTCAGCTAATTCATGCTCTATCATTTTCCATCAATGTTCATTTCTCTGTGATGGAAAGAGACAAAACAGTGTTTGAATAAGTAGAATTATTTTAGTCGTAAATGAGCAGAAAGTAGATCTACAAACGTGATTACTGCTAAATCAAAGTTAAATTCTTCGCAAATTGGTCAAGTTACACAACAAGATGTTTTAAAACGTTCAAATGGAGTCATCAAGTTACGAGTGGTCTTTTCAATTAATTATTTTCCATATACTAGGCGGATCACAAGCCCCAACATCCGGGCAGAGTCTGTTAAAAGTCGTAGAACTGTCGAAGCCTAATATCTCTCTCTCCTCTTGAATACGGAATGTAAACGTGCTTTCGTGGGTCCCAATGAAATGTGCAGCGTGCGAACAAATTATCTGATCGATTATAGCTATGCCACCGTCATTGTACTTCTCCAAGTCTGACGCAGATGGATCATAAACATAGACTTTAAAACCAGCTTCTTTGAGTTTGCTTTTCAATATTTTCACTTCAGAAGCTGAAGCGTCAGTTGAGATGAAAATTTTCTTGATTCCAGGCATTTTTTCAAATGCATCCTTTATTTGTTTTACAGTGCCATCAATCGAAGGGACGTCATTAGGTCTGCTTGTGGCAAAGTCCAAACGTCTCCAGTGGATTGCTATGTAGTTGTTACACTTTTCTTCGTCACAACCCAGCTTCTCCTTAATAAATTTCTTTGCTTTCTTTACCAGTGTTTTGTTGAACTTCATGCTTTTACGGCAGTCCCAGTACGCTTTCGTCCCATAATTGTCATGTAAAGGTATTTCTCCGTGCATGAACATGACTTTTTTATCGTTCGGATGTAAATTTATGAGTTCCCACAACTTCGATATCTTTCCTTGGAACCGTACACATATGACTTCCTTCGCTGAGATATTATCATAGTTTTTATCGCATTCCTCTTTAGGTACAAGCTGCCATTTCTCTTCAAAAACTCCATTTTCAAACGGGTTATCAAAGTTTTGTAAAACGTACAGTGTGTCGATATCTATCGGTTTCGCAGATTCGTCGACTACCTCGCTCAGTTCAAGCACTGGGGCGTAGGATTTTAGAGATTCTACATCAAAAAAGGAGCGCCAAGGCACTGGTTTGTCATTGTTTTTCCAATGGTACAATTTATTCCACGGCGTCAGAACTAAGCGCCAATCCGTTTTCCCGCGCTTTTGGGCTTCAGCCAGCATTATAGCAAACCTCATGTACACATCCCGTCGCAAATTGAAACCCTCAGGAGGGTTTACATCATAGAAAATCAACTTGTGATCTTCGTTTGGTGTTATTTCGTTGTTACAGGTCTCTGAAGCTGCATCGCAGTACCCATCGAGCGCAGTCTTCTCAGCGGCCGCGTTTAGCATGTGTATGAGAAGTAGATTTAGGAAAATCATCGTAAAAGTCCCACTTTATTGAGAAAATTACAAAAGAAAAACAAATTCAACAAGTATTGATCGATTTCAAAAACTTTGACATAAATATTTTTTAAATTCAAGATCACGGCACGAAATAACGCAAGTTTGCCTTGATGTTGATTTCTGAACGAATTTGTCTATTTTAGGGGATTTTCCTCTTATAACTTTTTAGCGGGAAAGTGAATCGGAAAATTTTAGGTGTCTGTCTTTTGAAAATAAATTGATTTATTGTCCGATAGTGGTATATTTTTTTAATTAATCTAATCGTGGTTTTATTTTATTACTAGCTTTCCGCCCGCGGCTTCGCCCGCGTGGAATTTTGTCTGTCACAGAAAAACTTTATCGCGCGCGTCCCTGTTTCAAAAACCGGGATAAAAACTATCCTATGTTCTTTCTCGGGACTCAAACTATCTCTATGCCAAATTTCATCAAAATCGGTTGCGAGGTTTAAGCGGGAAAGCGTAACAGACAGACAGACAGACAGACAGACAGACAGACAGAGTTACTTTCGCATTTATAATATTAGTTGGGATAGTCAAGATACTGCTGAGTCCAGTCGTATGAGTGCTAAGATACTTTTTGCAAGATCCAAGTAACAAAAGACAATGCCGGAAATTGGCGTCTTTTTTTTTTCGCGCGGCCATGGACCAAACTTTGTTTTTTGATTACAAAATAGTGTAATAAACCAAACTTACTATGACATGTATACCTCTAAACTCAGTCTGAACTGAGTTACGAGCATTAGAAGTTTGATGATTTTCATACTAGATTTGCTTTTTGCGCGCAAAGTTTTGTAAGAAATTGCAACAAAATAGTGACATTGTATGTGTAAACAAACAACACCATCCATTAAAGGCTCCAGACATCAGTATGGAGCAGAATCAGCGCAATAAAAAAATAGCGCAATATTTTGTTGCAATTTCTTACAAAACTTGCGCACAAAAAGCAAATCTAATAAATTAAATGAAACCATCAATCGAGCAAGTAGGATTTTATTATTATTCATCAATAATCAAATTCTGAACTTGAATATTCAACTACAATGTCTGCTCATGAACGCTTCAAGCTCGGTACTTCTTTCCCAATTCCATAAAATTCAATACTTACAAAGTGACAAAAAACTTTAAAATAGGTAGTTGAAACAAACCACAGCTAATTTTCATAGTTGACTGTACTATACGATAAACATGTCAGTCAATTTGACAACCTTTGTCGGAAACATTATTCAATGAAAATATTGTCCGAACCCTTAGTATTTCTCTTCGACAAATACTTTAACACATTGTGAACCACTTTTCTTTCACGACTATATAAAGATTTTAGCAATTAGGCCAGTAGAATTAAACACAAAAATTGATTAAATCGGAAATAATTCCTACAAAAGATTTTTTTGCTTTAATGGCTTCATTGGTTGCCCATTAAAACTCTCCTAAGTTTTCGACTTCGACGGAGTTGTACTCAAGNGACAGACAGAGTTACTTTCGCATTTATAATATTAGTTGGGATTAGTTGGGATAGTCAAGATACTGTTGAGTCCAGTCGTATGAGTGCTAAGATACTTTTTGCAAGATCCAAGTAACAAATTTATAATAAACTCGTTAAGCTACCCACATAAGTACTGATAAATAATTCCCCATAAAAAAATGTGAGAAAATGTACCATTCTAATGATACCTATATAATAGGGATGTTTGTTTCCTGGGTAAAAAAGCAAGAGTTTTAATTCGTCCGTCAGTTAGCTTGTCAAAAACTATTCGACACATATTTTTCTCTTTAAAAACTAATTAAAATGTAAAGAGATAAAGCGTGCCAAAGTTCTAAAGAAAAGGCCCGTGACGTCAGTGAGTGCGTAAAAATGCAGCACTTTGTGACGTCGCGCGGAACTTCAACGCACTATAACTTTGTAATTATTTTTTAAACTAAAATTGACGAATTAAAAAAATTTTTTAGGTAACTAGCCTATTGTTATTTCTGAAAAAAAAATACACCTTCAACAGCAATACGTTTATTATGCTAAAAACATTTTTTGGGTATTTCGCCGAAACAGTAAATTTTCTGTGTCCAGGCAGGCGAACACATGTTTTTTTTATATTTATATGCATAAAACTATTTTTATGGAAAAGTTAATCGAAAGTTTTATTTGTTTTTGCTATTACAATAGCAGAAACTACAAATAATACCGTAGAAAAACATAATCAAAAGTCGTTTTTCTAATTTCCTTGTTATGTCCATAACTGTTGTTTGCCAAAATGAAGGCACATTATANAAAGTGTACATATGAAAATAGATGAAACTAGACCTATTTTTATCGACAAAAAAGAGGTCAAAAATATTTTGAGATTTTTTTTTAATTTTTACAGAATTTTTTTTCTTCCAATTGCTTATTGTAAAGAAAACGTAATAACTTTTAAACTAAGCGGTATTTCCTGATAAAATAAAAACAGTAATAATGCTAAATAACAGGCGATACTAAAAATATACATAAAATACACAAAAAAGGCCAACAAATAATAAAAAATGATACTTTTTGAAAAAAATCTGCTTTTAAATACGTGTTTTTTTGGTTATTTGATAAATTTCTCCAAAAAATGCCCCTATAACAGGTGGTTTTTATTACTTTGTATTATTTGTTTGTTTGTTTGTTATTCGTTTGAACTAAGCCTCTCCGGGCGCGCCATTCAACGCTTCGTTAACAACGCAACTGAAAATGACTCTAGATTTGTAATTTTGATAAAGACAAGTTAGATTTCAAATAAAAACAAAATATTTCGAAGTAAAATAAGCATTTTAGTTAAAATTAAAATTGTTTCTACCTGAAAGTGGAGAATAATGTTGTGGCAGGCCTTTGTTCAAACGATCATAGCAAATGTTGTGATAGGTACAGAGACATGCGATTTTTGGTTTTACAAAGATAATACGATAGAAAATAATACAAAGTAATAAAAACTACCTGTTATAGGGCATTTTTTTGAGAAAATTATCAAATAACCAAAAAAATACGAAGTTTTAAGCAGTTTTTTTCAAAAAGTATCATTTTTTATTTGTTGGCATTTTTTGTGTATATTATGTATTTTTTAGTATCGCCTGTTATTTAGCATTATTAATGTTTTTATTTTATCAGGAAATACCGCTTAGTTTAAAAGTTATTACGTTTTCTTTACAATAAGCAATTGGAAGAAAAAAAAATCTCAAAAAATTTTTGACCTCTTTTTTGTCGATAAAAATAGGTCTAGTTTCATCTTTTTCATATGTACACTTTACCGTGACTCACACTGTATATATTTGAGAAACGTTTAGTTATCGTAAAAAAACTTTAAATGTCAAATACTTAAAGGAAGGAAATTAAGTGAAGTTAAGTTCTTGTCCGATTTCCCTGGGTCTTCTTTACGACCATTGTAGTAACGAAACGCAAGAAATTAGAATATTTTAATATTTGTAATAATTTCCTTGGCTACCAAAAATTCATGACCTTATAGCTTTGTTTCTAAAACGAATTATGACACCCCTTTTAGATATATTAGCTTAGTTTTTGCTATTTAATACAATGGGAAACTAACAATTTAGTTAAAAACAAAAATATATTTCGTACCAAGGAAATTAGGCAAAATTTAGCATTTTTGGCCAAATACCCTTTTATAATCTCCATCCATAAATTTAGAACAAAAAGGTAAATTTTAATACTTAACTTCAACAGCATCACTTAGATTAAAATATCTTAAAATAAATCTTACGCCATGCGTAGGTTTAATTATTAGCAAAAATATTATGCTTTTACAAATCTTTCTTTCTATCACATTATCACATAGAGACTTTTTTATACAAAACTAGATGAAATATTTTGACATAAGGTCCTACATTAGAACACACTCAATTAACCTGTATTTGATTACAATATTAATCACATTAAATATTAAACTACCTACCTTACCTACTTAACTCGTAATAAAAATTATGAATACATCCATTCGCGATAAGTTTGCCGCTGGCGTTATAACGTCACTTAAAAGAAAGCGTCTATAACTATAGCAAACTTTAATTAAAATATTTTTTATTTATTAATATTGATAAAAAATATTACACTTCATTTCGTTTAATCACTAACTAATTGCGTTTAATCGCGGTTGGAGAGGGGACGCGCATTCCACGGACCGGCAAACTTAGCGCGTACGGGTTTTTTAGACACCGTTGGAGAACAAGAACTTTATACCTAAGTAAGTAGTGGTTAAATCCGTTCGTTGCGTTTTAGTTAAATATAGGTATGATGCTTAATTATGTTATGAGTGGGTACACTACAGTACTCCAGCCCAGAACAAAAAATCATCTTTACTCGGTTCTCGAGTCAGCCAGTCTGACACCTTCGGTAGGAATGGCACCGTTGGGTAAGTGTCTGGTATTGTAAAAATGATTTTGCCATTTTCATATACGTAATCCGTAAATTCAATGTGGGTATTACATTGGGCCTTATCATTGAAACTTACACAATAAGCACTGCAAAACATTTGATAACTCGTAACTTTACCAAATCCAAGTACATCTCTATCCAATTGAATGGTCTCCGTGAATTTGCTCAACTGGGTGCCTATGAAATAAGCAGCGTGTGTACAAATAATGTGATCAATAATAGCTATCCCGCCTTCTTTAAAGTCTTTCATATCTTGAACTGAAGGATTAAACTCGAAGGTTTCAAAGCCAAACGCTACAAGTTTACCTTTTAAAGCTTCCAGTTCGCTCGCCTCTGCGTCAGATGCAATGTAAACTTTATTTATGTCAAGCTTACAGTTCTCAACAACCCATATTATTACTTGAACAGTCTCATGTACAGATGGAAGTATATTTGTTTTTCCCAACATGCAACTGAATTCTTTTCGTCTCCAATGTATAGCCAAATACGACGGACATTTTTCCGATGTGCAATGAAAGTTTTCAATTATGTAGTCCCGTGCCCGTTTCACGAGTCTGCTATTGTACTCCATGATTCCCCACCAGGATTTGCGCGGGTTGGTCTGTTTTTGTGGTTGATTGAGAAGGTGTACATTTTTAAACATAATTTTTTTATCAGAGGGCTGTAGATCTACGAGTTTCCATAGCATTTCTAAGGTACCATTTATAGAGACGCAGTACGTTGTTTTAGCAATAATGTTGTCATATCTTATAATACAATTCGTTGTCGGCATGATCTGCCACTTTTTTTTGCCAGAGGATTCACTCCATGGTTCACTCGGATAGTTTTGTAAAACAAAAAGAGTGTCCACTTCCAATGGCTCCGAATCAGGTGCATCGATCACCTCATGCATTTCTAGGACTGGTGCGAATGTTTTCAGCGTCTTAATATCAAAAAAGTTGCTCCAAGGCTCAGGTTTATCAGTATTTTTCCAATGATGTATATTGCTCAACGGTGTCAGAACCAAGCGCCAATTAGTTTTGCCATGCTTATGCGCGTTGACCAACATGGTAGCCATATTGGTATAAATCACCTGATGATAGTGAAATCCAGCATTGGGCATGACATCGTAGAACATAAATTTATAGTCATCACTAACCGCGGGTTTGTTGTAGCAAGTATCCGAGGAGCAGCTGCTGCGTCGGACTGGAGCTGGATATTCGACTTCTATTTCTTCACCTTCGTATACTATCATCTCTAATCGAAAGGCTGCAGTATATACGAGAAAAAGATTTAAAATAATCGCAATCATCGTGAAACTGGCACTTTATGTTTATTTATACGAAACAAAATAAAACTTGCCTCGAGTGAAAAAGTTCAACAGGTTGTATTGATTAATTCTTGATTTTTTTAGCAAACATTTGGGTATTGGAAGTGATGATTCCGCCAAATTCAAAAGTTATTATGACGTATAGTCTGACAGGTTAGAACGGAACGAATGGATTTCCGAACGGAAAGGTCAATGCCTTTTTAATTTTTCTTTGCAGCAACACTTTTTCTGATGTCACCTATCTATTCTGTCATTATTGAATTCTGACTGATGTGCATTTTGTACGGCAAAATTATCTAAAAAAACCTATAAAACATCTTGATTTTTGCTTATCCTAGCAAAAATGGAGCTGAACGACGTGATAGTGAACCAGCCAGTGGTTATAGACAATGTAAATATGTAATATTTTCACATAATTCGGGCTTTTCTCGATAGTTGGCACACCTTCGTTTTTGTTTGAAAAATCAATTGAATTTCATTTAATAATGGGAAAAGAACTGGGTCAGTGCCTTGTAAAGTACAAATTCGTGTAATAATGCGCTGGTATTGATCGTGCGGTGGTTTATTTGTAAATAATATGAGTTTGAAATGAGTCACCACGTTTGACGTATGTATGTCCATATTTATTTGATTCTTGCCGGTTTTGCAGGGCTCTGGAGTGATCAAAGCCGGCTTCGCTGGCGATCAGATCCCAAAATGCAGGTTTCCCAACTAGTAAGTATAGATTTAGCAGTAAATATTGAGGTGAACTCACTTCCTAACACAAGTGACATAATTTTGGCTTCATTGGAGGGGATAAGTAGGTTTGTGCATTAAAAATCACAGATTCTTTTAAAAATACAATAAGTATTTGTTTATAATGTTTTGTAACATGGATGTTAATGTCCTACATGACATAATTATTACTTAACAAAATTGCTCATTTAAATTAAAAATGTTATAACACATTAATAAGGTACAGTGTAAACTCTTTACAATTTCAATCAATTTATTTTTTATTTCAGTGATCTGTTTGTCCCTATCCTACTAATATTATAAATGCGAAAGTTTGGATGTCTGGATGTTTGTTACTCTTTCATGCAAAAACTACTTAACAGATTTTGATAAAACTTTACAGTATTATTTTTTATAACACATAAGCTATAATTTATGACGATATGTGACAAACTAAATTTCACACGGGTGAAGTTGCAGGCAAAAGCTAGTTTTAAATAAATTTTAATGACAAACTTCTCATTACATTGAAATGTTTTTCTTTAGTGGTTTATCTTGTTTTCTCTTTACTTCACCATGTGATTTCCATTCTCTATAACAATAAAAAAAGCTCAGTCTCATAAATAAATAAAATGTTTATTTTATTGACAGTTTTTTTAACACTAGGCAAATGTTAAAATATAAAAGGTAAAATTATATATTGCCTGAACTAGGTACGTAATTACTGAACATCGCTGGTAGGGCCCAAAAGATAAGGAGACATGTAAAGTGCCCCATAAGGGCTACCTTTTTCTTTTTTTATTATTTTTTCTATTGACGTTCATAAGTGCCACTTGTGGTCTAAACTGAATAAATATTTTTGATTTTGATTTTTTTATTTTGATTTTGATCAGGCAAAAAAAAGTGCAGTTATAAGAGTTTAAACTATATCTATTTTAAAATAAGAGCCTAAACTACTAAACACAAGTTTTCATCATCGTCATCATCATTTCAGCCATAGGACGTCACTGCTGAACATAGGCCTCTCCCAATGATTTCCATAATGACTCGTTGGTAGCGGCCTGCGGCCAGCGCCTTACTGCTACTTTTATGATGTCGTCGGTCCACCTTGTGGGACCAACCGCCAAGTTTATGTATCGACTCAAAAATGTCCATCTTTTTTCCACAGCATCGGGCGTCCCAAACATATCTGAGTGATTACTTTTATGTTCACCTTGTGGGACCAATCACCAAGTTTATGTATCAACTCAAAAATGTCTATTTCCGCAGCATCGGGCGCCCAAACACATCCAAGTGATTACTTTTATGTTCACCTTGTGGGACCAACCGTCAAGTTTTTGTATCGACTCAAAAATTTATATTTTTCCGCAGCATCGGGCGCCCAAACACATCCAAGTGATTACTTTTATGTTCACCTTGTGGGACCGACCGCCAAGTTTTTGTATCAACTCAAAAATGTCTATCTTATCCAGCACCTTCCTGCTACTTTTATGATGTCGTCGGTCCACCAAGTTTTTGTACCCACTCAAAAATGACCACCAAGTTTTTGTACAACTCAAAAATGCCCATCTTTTTTTCACAGCATCGGGCGTCCCAAACACATCTGAGTGATTACTTTTATGTTCAGCTTGTGGGACCAACCGTCAAGTTTTTGTATCGACTCAAAAATGTATCTTTTTTCCGCAGCATCGGGCGCCCAAACACATCCAAGTGATTACTTTTATGTTCACCTTGTGGGACCGACCGCCAAGTTTTTGTATCAACTCAAAAATGTCTATCTTATCCAGCACCTTCCTGCTACTTTTATGATGTCGTCGGTCCACCAAGTTTTTGTACCCACTCAAAAATGACCACCAAGTTTTTGTACAACTCAAAAATGCCCATCTTTTTTTCACAGCATCGGGCGTCCCAAACACATCTGAGTGATTACTTTTATGTTCAGCTTGTGGGACCAACCGTCAAGTTTTTGTATCGACTCAAAAATGTCTATTTTTTCCGCAGCATCGGGCGCCCAAACACATCCAAGTGATTACTTTTATGTTCACCTTGTGGGACCGACCGCCAAGTTTTTGTATCAACTCAAAAATGTCTATCTTATCCAGCACCTTCCTGCTACTTTTATGATGTCGTCGGTCCACCAAGTTTTTGTACCCACTCAAAAATGACCACCAAGTTTTTGTACAACTCAAAAATGCCCATCTTTTTTTCACAGCATCGGGCGTCCCAAACACATCTGAGTGATTACTTTTATGTTCAGCTTGTGGGACCAACCGTCAAGTTTTTGTATCGACTCAAAAATGTCTATTTTTTCCGCAGCATCGGGCGCCCAAACACATCCAAGTGATTACTTTTATGTTCACCTTGTGGGACCGACCGCCAAGTTTTTGTATCAACTCAAAAATGTCTATCTTATCCAGCACCTTCCTGCTACTTTTATGATGTCGTCGGTCCACCAAGTTTTTGTACCCACTCAAAAATGACCACCAAGTTTTTGTATCAACTCAAAAATGTCCATCTTTTTTCCACAGCATCGGTCGCCCAAACACATCTAAGTGATTACTTTTATGTTCACCTTGTGGGACCGACCGTCAAGTTTTTGTATCGACTCAAAAATGTCTATTTTTTCCGCAGCATCGGGCGCCCAAACACATCCAAGTGATTACTTTTATGTTCACCTTGTGGGACCAACCGTCAAGTTTATGTATCGACTCAAAAATTTATATTTTTCCGCAGCATGGGGCGCCCAAACACATCCAAGTGATTACTTTTATGTTCACCTTGTGGGACCTACCACCAAGTTTTTGTATCGACTCAAAAATTTATATTTTTCCACAGCATCGGGCGCCCAAACACATCCAAGTGATTACTTTTATGTTCACCTTGTGGGACCAACCGTCAAGTTTTTGTATCGACTCAAAAATTTATATTTTTCCGCAGCATCGGGCGCCCAAACACATCCAAGTGATTACTTTTATGTTCACCTTGTGGGACCAACCGCCAAGTTTTTGTATCAACTCAAAAATGTCCATCTTTTTTCCACAACATCGGGCGCCCAAACACATCTGAGTGACTTTTATGTTCACCTTGTGGGACCGACCGCCAAGTTTTTGTACCCACTCAAAAATGAGTATCTTTTTTCCACAGCATCGGGCGCCCCAAACACATCAGAGTGATGGCTGGTGCATTAGAAGGCGAGTTGTTCGTTGGCCCGCGCGCTGAGGAGCACCGGGGCTTGCTTAGCATTAAGTATCCGATGGAGCACGGAATTGTTACGGATTGGAACGACATGGAGCGTGTGTGGAACTATATTTATAGCAAAGTAAGTATAGTCTGGTCGCCGAGCATGTAGAATTTCGTCCAATGACCCCAAGCTACCCATCCTTATCGCTCGCGCGTAATTATATTGCTGTCGCGACCGTGCGACGGGCGCCCGCAGTGAGTGTGCGAGCGCGATAGCAACATATCAGTATCAGACAATGTTGATCATCTATATTTATAAAAGCGAACGGTCACTGATTGACTGACTGACTGACTCACTCATCACAAAATCTCAGAAACTACAATGTGCTAGGAGTCTCAAATTTTGCATGGGGGTTCCTTTTAGAACGAAGGTGCTCACTAAGAACGGATTTCACGAAACTCCACCCGAGGGTAAAACGGGATCCACGCGTACGAAGTCGCGGGCGGCCGCTAGTTGTTAACACTAGAGTACACGCGCGGACTACTATAGTAGACCAGGGTAACATTTTACGCTATAACTTTTTGAAAACTTGCGCCAGAGAGCTGGCATTCCAGGAAAGCCTCGTTTACTAAATTTGTCAGTAAGCCAGTAAAGCTTGGGTCGCTAGAGTCTGCGCACTTTTCTAAAATTGGCCGTCAAAACTGCGGGTCTACTCAAAAGCCCGAAATCACTCGACAAAAAAAATATGAAAGACTTGCAACAAATGGATTTACACCGTGTACCAGGCAGTAGAAAGTCATGAATACTATGACAGATAAAAAACTAATCATATTTTTTCAGTCAATTTTTTTTTTGTTAATGTTGGCCTCAGAGAGCAATTTTGGTTCAAAAAATTTACAACTTTTTAATCTGTTTATAATATTTGATCCCAAATAGTTATATAAAGAAACTTTGATTATAAAATAACTATAATAAACACTTTTATCATTTACATAATTATTCTATTCATAAATTGCTTACAAACTGATTAACAGTGATTTTAAATTGGATTACCAGAGTAGGCCGCGCGTGTATTCGTGTAAAAAAAGGGGCGCGTGTACTGCAGTGTTAAAGGATATAGCACATTTGTCAACCCGGAAAGGGATCGTAAGCGTATCAACTAGCGAGGCGTCAGTATTCTTTGTATGAAAGTCCATACTGCAACGCACACTTATCCGCACCGTAACGTAAGGGCCTCGCCTCGCGGTTGACAGCGCACTGAAGGCGTTGATAAGTCTGCTATGACCTTAAACTAACTGGGCCTTGCTTAGCATCAAGTATCCGATGGAGCACGGCATCGTGACCGATTGGAACGACATGTAGCGTGTGTGGAAGTATATTTATAGCAAGGTAAGTAGACATGGAGGAAGATAGTGGGTGGAAGTATGCATCGTGTGGTCCACACAGCTTATGACCGCAGTCTGTGGAAGAACACTATATTTGGTCGTGATCGTCATCAGTGAGGGACCGAGGAAGAAGGAGACTACTTACAGGTTGGCGAAATAAATACACAATAAAACTGTCTAAAATTAAGCTAAATCACATTTTTTAATGAAGTTAGACATACAAAGACTTTTAAATGTAGCATTGTCACCAATTTGTCTAAACCAAGTAGAAGATTTCAAGATTTAAAAGCTATCTTTGATTAAAAACTAATAAGAGGCAAAATACATACTACCAAAAAGTCCCTACACTATATTCTCTAAAAGGTTCAAACTCAGTACTCAGTAATCATGTCAGAGAATGCCACATAGTTAGTTTTCAACAAGTGATATTTGGGGCATTCTTTTAATATTTTATTCTCCTATTTTTTTCTGTCCATAGTTTGTGTGAAAAAGATCGCTTTTTGGCGATAAGACCGCCTAAAGTGTACTGTCCCTCGCGTCATGTGTGGTCTCTCAACGGACGCTATGGCAGAAACTTAGATGCAACTCAAAAGTAACTAGCAGTTGCAGTTTCGTTGCAGTTGCGTTTCATCGTCTGTTCTGGGCCTTAGTGTTTTGTGAGTGGTGTACAATAGTGTTTTTATTATTATTATTATTTTTCATTCTCCAGGACCAATTGTCAACGTTCTCGGAGGAGCATCCAGTGCTGCTGACGGAAGCGCCACTGAACCCTCGTAGGAACAGAGAGAAGGCAGCGGAGGTGTTCTTCGAGACTTTCAATGTACCAGCCCTGTTTCTCTCCATGCAGGCTGTGCTTAGTTTGTGAGTATAGAACTTCTTATATCATCATCATTTCAGCCACGTCGGACGTCCACTGATAGAGATGTGCCAAGTCAGACTGACTCGAGTACTGACTCGAATACCTAAAGCCTGGTCCGTGAGCACGTAGAATCCCGTCCAATGACCCCAAGCTGCCCATCCTTCGCCGCTCACACACTCACTGCGGGCGCCCGTTGCACAGTCGCGACAGCAATATAATTACGCGCGAGCGATAGGGATGGGTAGCTTGGGGTCATTGGACGGGATTCTACGTGCTCACGGACCAGGCTTTAGCAGGTACTCACGTACTCGAGTATGTAAATTTCTGTATTCGTATCCACAATACTCGAGTACAGATTCCGAGTACTCACTGTATTCGTCGTAGTCGTGTACTTTAATAGCAATCTTGTACGGCGTACAGTCGAATTTTGTATGACAATAATCTGTTTTTATTTACTTATACCTTCCCTGTTCGTTTATACTTGATTTGTGATGAAATATTGGAAATTGTCGTCAAAAGCAAACTACAAAGCTCGCTTCAAAAAGTACTCGAGTCTACTGAAATATTCGAATACTCGTGCCAGTACTCGAATACTTGACCGAGTCTTCAGATTCGAGTCCTAACTCGATTCTTTTTTTAACGAATACCAAAAAATTCGAATACCAAAAATAGCTGACTCGGCACATCACACTGAACATAGGCCTCCCCCAATGCTTTCCATGTTGATCGATTGGTAGCGGCCTGCGTCCAGCGCTTCCCTGCTATCTTTATGATGTCGTCGGTCCACCCAAACGTCACACGCTGCGCTGAAAATGGTCTACATGCTAATGAACATTTTGAATAGCTATTTCTAACAACATTTTCTCCGTCAAGGTACGCGACCGGTCGCACCACAGGCGTGGTGCTAGATTCGGGAGACGGTGTGACGCACGCGGTGCCAATTTACGAGGGCTTCGCTATGCCGCACAGTATTATGCGGGTAGACGTCGCTGGGAGAGACGTCACTAGGTATCTGAGGTGAGTAAGGTACACTGTAAATGTAATGAGGTATTATTTAAATTTATTTACAACAGCTTTTTGAGGGTAGATATTGCTGGGAGAGACGTCACTAGGTATCTGAGGTGAGTGAGGTACATTGTAAAATGTAATGAGGTATTATAAAAATTTACAACAGCTTTTTGAGGGTAGATATTACTGGGAGGGACGTTATGAGGTATCTCAGGTAAGTTAGATGTGGTCTAGCGCTTAATTGAGTCAGTGCCTGAGGTATGGGAGCGGCACGGGAGCATTTACTTAATCAAAATCAAAAATATTTATTCAGTTTAGACCACAAGTGGCACTTATGAACGTCAATAGAAAATAATAAAAAAAGAAAAGGTAGCCCTTATGGGGCACTTTACATGTCTCCTTATCTTTTGGGCCCTACCAGCCATTTTCATTTAACCAATGTCGAGGTACAATTTACAACAGCATTTTGAGGGTAGATTTGGTTGGGAGAGACGTTACGAGGTATCTGAGGTAAGTGAGGTACACTGTAAATGTAATGAGGTATTGTATAAATTTACAACAGCTTTTTGAGGGTAGATATTACTAGGAGGGACGTTACGAGGTATCTCAGGTAAGTAAGAGTAACTAACGCCCGTATTCACAAACATTATTATGAGGTGTCACAGTGCGCATGGACGCCAAGGGTGACACACGAACCAATCACAGAGCTCTATTCAACGCTGTGCGTTCGATTTGCATTAAGCATCGTTTGTAAAAACGGGTGTAATATTAAAGAGTGTGTTTTTGAGACGTTCAACGTCAGCGAGACTTCAGGAATGCTCCTGATTTATATGCTGTCACGTCATAATATGCATAATATTATGTCAATTTAGTCAATTTCACTCCTCCCGTGCCGCTCCCATTAGGGTGGAGCGTCATTGTATGGTTAAAAAAAAAGTTACGTAAACGAACTTGAATACCTGCTAAAAGTTGCATGAGAGCAAGATAATAACAAGGATATTTTTATTTTATTTTTAAAATGTATTTTTTAGCCCTCTACCGTCGTTTTAATTTAATTATTTTTTATTGTATGGCAATTTTCTAAAATCTCTGTATTATTAAACAGAATAATTAAAATAGAATTAATTTAAATGTGTTTTGTAAATAAAAAATAAATTTTATGAATTAAAAAGTTTTATTCGAAAAAAACACTATTAGAAATAATTAAAAATATATGGAAAAATCACAAAATTTAGATTTTTTTTAAATTTTATTTAGAACATTGCAATTCTATTGGTATTGAAAGATGACATTATATTGCTCGTTCAATTGTTTCCAAATCCATCTTTTGCTTTAGAAACATTCACTATTTTAAAATTAATTCATATCAATGAAAGGTTAACTTCGGATTTTTGAATGCTCTAATACTCCATGTACTTTGTAGTCTTTTCTTGCTGCCATTATTTGTCTCAAGCTCTCTGATATACATAATTGTTTTTTATAGTACATCAAAGCTAACAAAAGATGCTTATGGAGTGCAAAAAACGTGACTCTTTGAATAACTCGTTTAATAATTTTCTTAACATTTGATTCCAAAGACTAATAATGTAATCAATTTCAGTCTTGCTTTGCTTGATCTGATCTAAACTTCCTGTTGCTATTTTTCAAAATTTTTCTGATCTAGTGAAAATGCTCTTTCTAATAATGTTACTTCTCATCTTTTGGACAATTACAAGTGCTCAAATTACTAGATTTATAAGAAAACTATCTAATAGTTCTTGTATGAATTTTTTCCATTGCTGTAGTTTAGCGTTGAAGTTATCTGATTGTTTTGGTTATGGAAAGCGAATGAAATGTGAATAATTACCTATTAGAACATCACTTTAACAATTGTTTTATTCGTTGTATCGTAACAACAGGCTAAGAAGTCTTAGTTTCGACTAAAATTTGAGAAATGCAACGGGCTGTTCACCTTTTTTATTTTTTATTTCCGATTATCGACCGGCCCCTGCTTCGCATAGGTAGGTACAACGTAATGTATTATACTTAAAAACCTTCCTCTTGAATCACTCTATCTAATTTAAAAAAGCAGGTGTCAGTGGTAACACTGATTAAGGTACAAAACAAATAAGGAGATCCTAAAATAGGTCACTACGAGTGCTTAATTTCGATTTTATTTTGACTTTGGAACAATAAAATTAGACAACGCAATTACGAACTATCTACTTGATTAATATCAGTCGACTAAAGATAAAGACATAAGACAAAGGTAGAAAGAAGAAAATAGGTAACTGGACTAATTCTGATGTCAACAGTTCAAGTTGCAAAGTTACGCGCTGACTGTGAGTTTTGCCTAAAATCGGCACTTTTAATAATGTATTGTTTTAAGTTTATGACAAGCTTATAATGATATACAATTATTTTTTACGATGTGTATTATATTTAAAGTTACAAAAATATATTATTTATCAAATAAAAACTATTCTAAGGTAATTTATGATTTTTGCAATAAAGTCCTATTTTTTCATTTTTATGAAATATTCAAAAGCCAGTAGAGGGCTAAAAAATGGTCGCAATATTTTTTTATTTATTTTTCTCGTAACCGTTGCAACAAGATGCAACTTTTAAGAGGTATTCACAAACGCAAATGTAAAAAAAAATTTTTCGCTCCACCCTAGCTCCCATGCCTCAGGTACTGACTAAGTTAATCTATAGTATTTTTATGAAATATAAAGGCAGTTTTTTTTTTTTTTTCAGACTTCTTCTCCGCAAAGAAGGCGTAAACCTCCGCACGTCAGCGGAACTAGAAATCGTGAAGGCCATCAAGGAGCGCGCCTGTTACCTCTCTCCAAACCCGCTCAAGGAAGAAACTTTGGAGACGGAGCGGGCCCAGTACACGTTACCCGACGGGACACAGCTAGAGGTACGTTGTAAATGAGGTATAATTTAGAGGTTCAATATAAAAACACGGTTTAAGAGGAAACGATGGAGATATAACGGACGCAGTATATGTTACCAGACGGGACACAGCTAGAGGTACGTTGTAAATGAGGTATAATTTAGAGGTTCAATATAAAAACACGGTTTAAGAGGAAACGATGGAGATATAGCGGACGCAGTATACGTTAACAGATAGGACACAGCTAGAGATACGTTGTAAATGAGATATAATTAAGAGGTACGGTATAACTTTTAGAGGTACAGTATAAAATCACGGTTTAAGAGGAAACGCTGGAGTCATAGTGAGCGTAGTACACGTTACCGAACGGGACACAGCTAGAGGTACAGTGTAAACAGATATAAATTACGACATAACTAGAGGTACCTCATAAAAAGTAAATATGTTTTATCATTTCAGATTGGACAAGCGAGGTTTAGGGCGCCAGAGGTATTGTTCCGGCCAGACCTCATTGGGGAGGAGTGTGAAGGTAAATATTTAAATTATTTCCTCCTTGATCTTCGTTCGTTTCAGCCAAATGATGTCCACTGCTGGACAAAGGCCTCCCCCAAGGTTTTCCACAATCAACGGTCCTGGAAGCCTATGTTCAGCAGTGGACGTCCTATGGCTGAAAGGATGATGATAATGATATGTATTTGATGCCTCCGACTGCATTTGACAGTCTAACAAACACTAAGAGTAGACGCACACCGTTGATTTTTAGTTGGCCGATAGTCGTACCCGATTTTAAATTGTTTGAAGAATCGGCCAAATCGAATCGGCGTAGTGTGCGCACTCCCATACATGCCCGTACTGATCAACTGCCCGACTAAATCGACCGACGAAAAATCAACGGTGTGCGCCTACTCTAATTTGTCTTGTTTCTATCTTTTCGGTTTATTTTTATGTCAGTCTAGATCAGTCTTTCCCAAAGTGGGCGATAACGCCCCCTTGTGGGCGCTGCAGGCTTAAAGGGGGGCGGTAAGAGACCCCGGAAAAAAATCGGGGCATTGTGTAGAGGCTTGGTAGGCCATTTGTAATTTCATCTACTTAGGAGGTCTCTTAGACACCGACTGAGCATTTGACTCTTGAAAATTTTATGGGGGCGCTCAAAAGAATTTATTCTCAAAGTGGGCAGTAGACAAAATAAGTTTGGGAACCTCTGGTCTAGATTTTTGTTTTTTCTTTGGCTAAATATTTTAATTTTGTCCCTTTATCGTAATGATTTTTTTATCAATTTAATTTTATTTCCAGGCCTCCACGAAGTCCTTATGTTCGCAATCCAGAAGTCGGACATGGATCTCCGCAAGGTTCTCTACCAGAACATAGTCCTGAGCGGTGGCTCGACGTTATTCCGAGGGTTCGGGGACCGCCTGCTAGCGGAGATAAGGCGGCTGGCGCCCAAGGACATGAAGATTAGGGTGAGGCCTTTGAGTGTGTAGGTGTGGAGTCATGCAGGGCACTATGTTGGGTCCTTTACTCTATGTAATATGGAAATTTACTATTATTTCTGGCTGAGGTAAGGCGACTGGCGCTTAAGGACATGAAGATTAGGGTGAGGCCTTTGAGTGTGTAGGTGTGGAGTCATGCAGGGCACTATGTTGGGACCAGTGTTGTGTGTTAATACTGCCGCGCTACTCTCTCTCTAGCCAGCTCTCTCTCTCTCGACGTTATTCCGAGGGTTCGGGGACCGCCTGCTAGCGGAGATAAGGCGGCTGGCGCCCAAGGACATGAAGATTAGGGTGAGGCCTTTGAGTGTGTAGGTGTGGAGTCATGCAGGGCACTATGTTGGGACCAGTGTTGNGCGAGAACGGTTTGTCCAAAACATATGAATTTAGTCTTATTTAATGCAGGATTAAGTGCCCTTTAACCGTCATGAAGACCACTTTTCGATAGGGTAAGTCCTTTACGCGGTATAACCGGAAAACCGAAAAAATGCCTCTTTCGGGGGCCCCCACCACTTAAGCACAACTCCGTCGAAGTCGAAAACTTAGGAGAGTCTTAATGGGCAACCAATGAAGCCATTAAAACAATAAAATCTTTTGTAGGAATTATTTCCGATTTAAAAGCTAATTCTACTGGACTAAATTTAATTCACAAAATCAATTGCGCGCATTTAAAATAAAGTTTGTTTACACTTTGACAGCAATAGACTGACATGCAAGGTGACATGTCAATGAAGTTTTCAGTTACTGTTGCCATTAAAAGAAATTAGTACCATTAATTTTCCGCAACATGGCGAGGGTTTTTATGTTCCTGGTCAGGCTATATAACAAATTGAAGCGTAATTTCATTCTAATAGCACTCTCTTATACAGTGTGAGTCACGTTAAAGTGTACATATGAAAATAGATGAAACTAGACCTATTTTTATCGACAAAAAAGAGGTCAAAAATATTTTGAGATTTTTTTTTAATTTTTACAGAATTTTTTTTCTTCCAATTGCTTATTGTAAAGAAAACGTAATAACTTTTAAACTAAGCGGTATTTCCTGATAAAATAAAAACAGTAATAATGCTAAATAACAGGCGATACTAAAAATATACATAAAATACACAAAAAAGGCCAACAAATAATAAAAAATGATACTTTTTGAAAAAAATCTGCTTTTAAATACGTGTTTTTTTGGTTATTTGATAAATTTCTCCAAAAAATGCNAAAACGGGATCCACGCGTACGAAGTCGCGGGCGGCCGCTAGTTGTTAAAGGATGTAGCACATTTGTCAACCCGGAAAGGGATCGTAAGCGTATCAACTAGCGAGGCGTCAGTATTCTTTGTATGAAAGTCCATACTGCAACGCACACTTATCCGCACCGTAACGTAAGGGCCTCGCCTCGCGGTTGACAGCGCACTGAAGGCGTTGATAAGTCTGCTATGACCTTAAACTAACTGGGGCTTGCTTAGCATCAAGTATCCGATGGAGCACGGCATCGTGACCGATTGGAACGATATGGAGCGTGTGTGGAACTATATTTATAGCAAGGTAAGTATAACATGGAGGAAGATAGTGGGTGGAAGTCTGCATCGTGCAGTCCACACAGCTTATGACCGCAGTCTGTGGAAGAACACTATATTTGGTCGTGATCGTCATCAGTGAGGGACCGAGGAAGAAGGAGACTACGTACAGGTTGGAGATTTAAATACACAATAAAACTGTCTAAAATTAAGCTAAATCAATCAAATGAAGGTAGACATACAAAGACTTTTGTAGCACCACCGTCCGCGTCTAAAGTCTGGTCCGTGAGCAAGATAATTACGCGCGAGCGATAAGGATGGGTAGCTAAGGGTCATTGGACAAAATTCCACGTGCTTACAGACCGGGCTTTAGTAAATAAATAACATTGTCACCAATTTGTCTAAACCAAGAAGAAGATTTCAAGATTTAAGCTATCTTTGATTGGAAACTAATAAGAGACAAAGTACTACCAAGTGATATTTTGTCTCTTATTATTCTTTAAATATATTTTTTTTTCCATAATTTGTCTGGAAGAGATCGCTTTTAAGCGTTTACTAGCGTGTACTGTCCCTGTGTGTCTCTAAGCGCTCCTGCACACGACGCCGCACCCGCGCCGCCGCCGCGCCGTCGCCGCGCCATCAAAGCATAATTTCGCTCGCAGCGCGGCGGCGGCGCGGCAGCGGGCTTCACGCGGCGCGTATAAACAGTGTATGCCTCCTGCATCTGCAGTCCGCTTAGTCTAGGCGCGGACCACCGACTTTTAGTTGGCCGATAGTTGGGTCGGGCTGTTAATCAGTATGGAGATGTATGAAAGTGCGCACATTACACCGATTTGGTATCGGCCGATTCTTCATAAAAATTAGAATGGGGCCCAACTATCGGCCAACTAAAAATCGGTGGTCTAAGCTGCGCCTAGCCATATACTGGTTTACTTAAGGCCAGAACAGACGGTGAAACGCAACTGCAACGAAACTGCAACTTTCTAATGATTCTGATGAATGAAACTGAAACTGAAAGTTTCAAATTCGCGTCATGTGTGGTCTCTCAACGGACGCTATGGCAGAAACTTAGATGCAACTCAAAAGTAACTAGCAGTTGCAGTTTCGTTGCAGTTGCGTTTCATCGTCTGTTCTGGGCCTTAGTGTTTTGTGAGTGGTGTACGATAGTGTTTATTATTATTATTTTTCATTGGCCAGGACCAACTGTCAACGTTCTCGGAGGAGCATCCAGTGTTGCTGACGGAAGCCCCACTGAACCCGCGTAGGAACAGAGAGAAAGCAGCGGAGGTGTTCTTCGAGACGTTCAACGTACCAGCCCTGTTTCTGTCCATGCAGGCTGTGCTTAGTTTGTGAGTTTAGAACTATCTTTTATCATTATTTTCAGCTACAGGATGTCCACTGCTGAACATAGGCCTCCCCCAATGCTTTCCACTATGACCGGTTCTGCGTATACTGCTACTGCCCATTGCCACTTCAGCTTGCTAAGATCTTTTATCATCAGGTTATTTAGTCTCCATTGTACAAGCACGACCCTCTAATTTACCAGAGGCAAATAGAGGCTTTGGCCTCCACTCCCCACATTGGATTGGTTAAGGAAGACTGATGTTTACATATTTTTCTCTGTCACAGTAAAGTCGAATGACAGATTAAGAAAGTAAATAATATTTAAACAACTAGAGAAACTGCCAAGATAAGAGACTTGACAAAGGTGACGGAGTTCCATCCTCCACTTCTTCGCGACAGCAATATAATTACGCGCGAGCGATAAGGATGGGTAGCTTGGGGTCATTGGACAAAATTCTACGTGCTCACGGACCAGGCTTTAGTCCCCTGAAAAGGGCTTATAAACTAAAAAACATTTTGAATAGCTTTTTCTAACAATCTTTTCTCCTAAAATAGTAAGACACGGGTCTAAACGCGACGTTTATTAATGAGTTACATTATGTACTCACGGCTTGACGTTTCGGCTGCGATGCTGCAGCCGTGGTCACAAGAACATAATGTAACTCATTAATAAACGTCGCGTTAAGACCCGTGTCTTACTATTTTAGTTGAAATGGAACGCGAAAGTTTAAAATCTTAAATTTTTTCTCCATCAAGGTATGCGACCGGTCGCACCACAGGCGTGGTGCTAGATTCGGGAGACGGTGTGACGCACGCGGTGCCAATTTACGAGGGCTTCGCTATGCCGCACAGTATTATGCGGGTAGACGTAGCTGGGAGGGACGTCACTAGGTATCTGAGGTGAGTGAGGTACACTATAAATGTGATGAGGTATTTTTTTCATATAGCCAAAATTTACAACAGCTTTTTGAGGGTAAATATTACTGGGAGGGACGTTACTAGGTATCTGAGGTGAGTGAGGTACACTGTAAATGTGATGAATGAGGTATTTTTTTCAAAATCAAAATCAAAAATATTTATTCAGTTTAGACCACAAGTGGCACTTATGAACGTCAAATATAAAAAAAGAAAAGGTAGCCCTTATGGGGCACTTTACATGTCTCCTTATCTTTTGGGCCCTACCAGCCATTTTCATTTAACCAATGTCGAGGTACAATTTACAACAGCATTTTGAGGGTAGATTTGGTTGGGAGAGACGTTACGAGGTATCTGAGGTCCGTCAGCGAGACTTCAGGAATGCTCCTGATTTATATGCTGTCACGTCATAATATGCATAATATTATGTCAATTTAGTCAATTTCACTCCTCCCGTGCCGCTCCCATGCCTCAGGCACTGACTAAGTTAATCTATAGTATTTTTATGAAATATAAAGACAGTTTCTTATTTTATTTTCAGGCTTCTTCTCCGCAAAGAAGGCGTAAACCTCCGCACGTCTGCGGAACTAGAAATCGTGAAGGCCATCAAGGAGCGCGCCTGTTACCTGTCGCCCAACCCGCTTAAAGAGGAAACTTTAGAGACGGAGCGGGCCCAGTACACGTTACCCGACGGGACACAGCTAGAGGTACGTTGTAAATGAGGTATAATTTAGAAGTACGGTATAAAAACACGGTTTAAGAGGAAACGATGGAGATATAGCGGACGCAGTATACGTTAACAGATGGGACACCGCTAGAGGTACGTTGTAAATGAGGTATATTTTAGAGGTACGGTATAAAAACACGGTTTAAGAGGAAACTTTGGAGACAGCGGGCGCAGTTACGTTACCAGATGGGACACAGCTAGAGGTACAGTGTAAACTGATATAAATTAGGACATAACTAGAGGTACCTCATAAAAAGTAAATGTTTTATCATTTCAGATTGGACAAGCGAGGTTTAGAGCGCCAGAGGTATTGTTCCGGCCAGACCTCATCGGGGAGGAGTGTGAAGGTAAATATTTAGATTATTTCCTCCTTGATCTTCGTTCGTTTCAGCCAAATGACGTCCACTGCTGGACAAAGGCCTCCCCCAAAGTTTTCCACAATCAACGGTCCTGGAAGCCTATGTTCAACAGTGGACGTCTTATGGCTGAAAGGATGATGATAATGATATGACCTGTGGTTGACTGGCAGATAATGCCAACTGGCATTAAGTCCGCCACTGTACAGTTGTATGTGCAATAGTATAAATAAATATGTGTTTGATGCCTCCGACTGCTTTTGTACACACTAAGTTGTCTTATTTCTATACTTACGAGCAAAATATGGAATCATCCCCTTGTGTTTTGTTTCGAGCCACCATAAGAACTAAATGCCTATGAATGTATTTATGGTATTAATTTAAAGTATATAATACTAGCTTTTGCCCGCGGTTTCACCCGCGTGAAATTTAGTATGTCACAGATCGTCATAAATTATAGCCTATATGTTAATCTGGGTTATAAACAGTAATACTGTTAAGTTTCAACAAAATCCGTTCAGTAGTTTTTGCGTGAAAGAGTAACACATCCAGACATCCAGACATCCAAACATCCAGACATCATGACATCCAAACTTTCGCATTTATAATATTAGTAGGATGTATTACCTTTAAAATGGTACCATTTTTATTTATCTTTCTATTAGTCATTTAGTTCTTAGGATCATTCATAATAAATACATAGGGTGATTCCATACTTTTGTTCGCGAGTGTATCTTTTCGGTTTGTTTTTATGTCAGTCTAGATTTTTTTTTTCTTTGGCAAAATATTTTAATTTTGTCCCTTTATTGTAATGTTTTTTTTATCAATTTAATTTTATTTCCAGGCCTCCACGAAGTCCTTATGTTCGCCATCCAGAAGTCGGACATGGATCTCCGCAAAGTTCTCTACCAGAACATAGTGCTGAGCGGCGGCTCGACGTTATTCCGAGGGTTCGGGGACCGCCTGCTAGCGGAGATAAGGCGGCTGGCGCCCAAGGACATGAAGATTAGGGTGAGGCCTTTGAGTGTGTAGGTGTGGAGTCATGCAGGGCACTATGTTGGGACCAGTGTTGTGTGTTAATACTGCCGCGCTACTCTCTCTCTAGCCAGCTCTCTCTCTCTCTAGCCAGCTCTCTCTCTCTCTAGCCAGCTCTCTCTCTCTAGCCAGCTCTCTCTCTCTAGCCAGCTCTCTCTCTCTCTCTCGACGTTATTCCGAGGGTTCGGGGACCGCCTGCTAGCGGAGATAAGGCGGCTGGCGCCCAAGGACATGAAGATTAGGGTGAGGCCTTTGAGTGTGTAGGTGTGGAGTCATGCAGGGCACTATGTTGGGACCAGTGTTGTGTGTTAATACTGCCGCGCTACTCTCTCTCTAGCCAGCTCTCTCTCTCTAGCCAGCTCTCTCTCTCTCTCTCGACGTTATTCCGAGGGTTCGGGGACCGCCTGCTAGCGGAGATAAGGCGGCTGGCGCCCAAGGACATGAAGATTAGGGTGAGGCCTTTGAGTGTGTAGGTGTGGAGTCATGCAGGGCACTATGTTGGGACCAGTGTTGTGTGTTAATACTGCCGCGCTACTCTCTCTCTAGCCAGCTCTCTCTCTCTAGCCAGCTCTCTCTCTCTAGCCAGCTCTCTCTCTCTCTCTCGACGTTATTCCGAGGGTTCGGGGACCGCCTGCTAGCGGAGATAAGGCGGCTGGCGCCCAAGGACATGAAGATTAGGGTGAGGCCTTTGAGTGTGTAGGTGTGGAGTCATGCAGGGCACTATGTTGGGACCAGTGTTGTGTGTTAATACTGCCGCGCTACTCTCTCTCTAGCCAGCTCTCTCTCTCTCTAGCCAGCTCTCTCTCTCTCTAGCCAGCTCTCTCTCTCTAGCCAGCTCTCTCTCTCTCTAGCCCGCTCTCTCTCTCTAGCCAGCTCTCTCTCTCTCTAGCCAGCTCTCTCTCTCTCTAGCCAGCTCTCTCTCTCTCTAGCCAGCTCTCTCTCTCTAGCCAGCTCTCTCTCTCTCTAGCCCGCTCTCTCTCTCTAGCCAGCTCTCTCTCTCTCTAGCCAGCTCTCTCTCTCTCTAGCCAGCTCTCTCTCTCTCTAGCCAGCTCTCTCTCTCTAGCCAGCTCTCTCTCTCTCTAGCCCGCTCTCTCTCTCTAGCCAGCTCTCTCTCTCTCTAGCCAGCTCTCTCTCTCTCTAGCCAGCTCTCTCTCTCTCTAGCCAGCTCTCTCTCTCTAGCCAGCTCTCTCTCTCTAGCCCGCTCTCTCTCTCTAGCCAGCTCTCTCTCTCTCTAGCCAGCTCTCTCTCTCTCTAGCCCGCTCTCTCTCTCTAGCCAGCTCTCTCTCTCTCTAGCCAGCTCTCTCTCTCTCTAGCCAGCTCTCTCTCTCTCTAGCCATCTCTCTCTCTCTAGCCCGCTCTCTCTCTCTAGCCAGCTCTCTCTCTCTCTAGCCAGCTCTCTCTCTCTAGCCAGCTCTCTCTCTCTCTAGCCAGCTCTCTCTCTCTAGCCAGCTCTCTCTCTCTCTCTCGACGTTATTCCGAGGGTTCGGGGACCGCCTGCTAGCGGAGATAAGGCGGCTGGCGCCCAAGGACATGAAGATTAGGGTGAGGCCTTTGAGTGTGTAGGTGTGGAGTCATGCAGGGCACTATGTTGGGACCAGTGTTGTGTGTTAATACTGCCGCGCTACTCTCTCTCTAGCCAGCTCTCTCTCTCTCTCTCGACGTTATTCCGAGGGTTCGGGGACCGCCTGCTAGCGGAGATAAGGCGGCTGGCGCCCAAGGACATGAAGATTAGGGTGAGGCCTTTGAGTGTGTAGGTGTGGAGTCATGCAGGGCACTATGTTGGGTCCTTTACTCTATGTAATATGGAAATTTACTATTATTTCTGGCTGAGGTAAGGCGACTGGCGCTTAAGGACATGAAGATTAGGGTAAGGCCTTTAAGTGTGTAGGTGTAGTCATACAGGGCACATTTATGAGACCAGTGCTGTATATGATAATACTTTTTTTGCTAGCTGATATAAGACGACTGGCGCCTAGGGACATGAAGATTAGGGTAAGGCCTTTGATACATTCGAATGAAGACTTCTGCAGGGCACTTTAATGGGACCAATATTCTATTAAGTAAATGGGTGCCTTAAACAACTACATATGTTAGCTTTCCGCCCGCGTGAAAGTTTTCGGTGTCAGCAATAATGTGGCTTTCTATTGGTGAAAGAATTTTTAAAATCAGTTCAGTAGGTTCCGAGATTACCCTTTACAATTTAACAAATATACAAACACACAAACTTTACCTCTTTATAATATTAATATTAGTATAGATTACAATGAATGGTTTGTCCACAGATCTCAGCACCTCAAGAGCGTTTATACTCCACCTGGATAGGCGGCTCTATTCTGGCGTCGCTCGACACTTTCCGCAAGATGTGGGTTTCTAAGAGGGAGTACGACGAGGAAGGACACAGGGCGGTCCATCGCAAGACTTTCTAGACTTATTGTAGGTAAACTAGCATTTTGAAGGATGCAGCACACTTATCAACCCGGAAACGGATCGGATATCAACTCGAGGCAGTGTTCTTTGTATGAAACTCCGTACTGCAACGCACACTTATCCGTACTTAAACGCCTTTCCTTTTCCGGATTAATAAGTGTGCTATGACCTTGATGGTCATATGCTTGGGTGAGGTCGAGTGGATGTGTTAAATTGTGCTACAACGTGACAGTAACGCGACTGGGGCGCGACTTCAGCACAACGTAACAGTGGTGCCACTGCAACGCTACGTGATAGTAATGCGATTGTGACGCGACTGCAACGCAACGTGATAGTGACGCGACTGCAATGCAACGTGACAGTGACGCGATTGTGACGCGACTGCAACGTGAAAGTGTCGCAACTGTATCGCAATGTGTCGAGTCACGTCCAATCAGGTCTGTCGAAGTCTTTGCTTTTGTATTAAACTCCACTCCACATCACCTCGAGTGTAGAAACGTCTTTATATTAAGCCACACTAACTTAACTTTAAATCAAGGCAGTGTGGCTTGTAGCCACTTTTTATGTTCAACAAATCGTTGTACAACTATCCCTTTCTATGCAGTTGCTACAATTTTAATTCGTTGCGGGTTCAATGACAGTTTAACTTTCCCCGGGCAAACTTGACCTTCACTGGTTGGGTTATGGCGGTCAAGCTGTAGATCCTGGCTACACAGGAGTTGCAGGTGGGAACGAGAGGTGGGAATAGTCCCGTAGTTGTAATCTTTGTAATTGTTTAAAAGCTACCATTAAGCTAAAATTTTAAGTCAAAACTTATCTAAGAACACTTTTTTTACCATGACAACATGAGACCATAAGACTATTGCTTAACTCAGTGCCTGAGGTATGGGAGGGGCGCGGGAGGGGTGTGTTTGTGTGACGTCAAACGTCAGCGAGACTTCAGATTTGTATGCTCTGTCACGTCATAATATGTCAATGACACCCTTCCCGTGTCACTCCCATCTCTAGACCTGTAGTATGACGATTTGTTGAACATAAAAACTGGCACAATATAGTACATCATAAATATTATTATATTTAGATATCAAATGCTTTTATTAAATAACTAGCGGCCGCCCGCGACTTCGTACGCGTGGACCCCGTTTTACCCTTAGGGGTGAAGTTTCGAGTTTTTTAGGGTTTACCCGGAAATTATTCAAACTTTTCTCGCTGTAAAAACCATCCTTGGACTTCAACAAACATTTAAAAAAAAGAATTGGTAAAATTGGTCCAGGCGTTGTTGAGTTATGCGCTTACCAACACATTTTGCGATTCATTTTTATATTATAGATGTAAAATCTCTCACAATCATAATTAATTTATATATTTCAACACATCTGTTCTGCGTACTTAAAATACGTTCACAGCTGAAAAACCTACCTGAAATTAATTTGAACCATATTTCTTTACCACTAAAGCCCACGGTGAAACGCAACTGCAACGAAACTGCAACTTTCTGATGATTCTGATGAATGAAACTGAAACTGAAAGTTTCAAACTGGTCGCGTCATGTGTGGTCTCTCAACGGACGCTATGGCAGAAACTTAGATGCAACTCAAAAGTAACTAGCAGTTGCAGTTGCGTTCCACTGTCTGTTCTGGGCCTAATGCTGGTTTTCTATATTCCATCCTAATCCAAATCCGTCCGTCAACTGTCAAATTTCAATATGTTTTTGGTAAAAATATCTGCGATTTTCGATGTTCTTACATTTTCATATTGTTTATACTAAGACTTTTTAAACAATATTAAAGTGTAAACGCATCGAAAGTTTGGATATTTTAATCTAAAACTGAATTGACAGTTGAAATCCGATTAAAATAGTAAGACACGGGTCTTAACGCGACGTTTATTAATGAGTTACATTATGTACTCACGGCCTGACGTTCCAATATGACATGACAATATGAGGGTAGTTGAAAATCTTCAAGCCCGCCCGAACGGACGACGCCGCGAGCAGTCTGCTTGTGACCACGGCTGCAGCATCGCAGCCGAAACGTCAAGCCGTGAGTACATAATGTAACTCATTAATAAACGTCGCGTTAAGACCCGTGTCTTACTATTTTAGTTGAAATGGAACACGGAGGTTTATAATCTTATAGTTGAAATCCGGATTTGGACAAGGATTGATTATGGGAAACGGGCGTAAGTTAACAATTAGTTGAAAAAACTTTGTTTCGTTTCTCACACGCTGTGAAATATACACAACATTTATAAGTATAGAAGATTTCTAATCATGATTTAGCTTAATTTTTATTATATAACTTTTTATATCAGTATAGTTTTTCAATCAGTACCTCTAGCATGAACAACTTTCGTCTTCGAATCGTTTGCGTATTCGACAAAATTCGATACTCAACCTTCGAATAAAACGATAACGTGACAATTTTGATTCTCAAAATAAGTTTCGTGCAACCATTTCTCATACTAAGTTCACTTTACGTCACGTTCACAGAGGCACAGGCACTGTTTAAGTATTCATACTAAACCTTTCGATGGCGATTCGAATACGCAAACGATTCTAAGTCGATTCGTTTTTCGTGCACGAGGTACCGGTCTAACACCCGTATCCACAAACGTTACTATGAGGTCTCACAGTGCGCGTGGACACACAGGGCGACACACGAACCAAGCACATACCTTTATTCAACGCTGTGCGTTCAATTTGTTGCTTCACTTAAGCAAGCATCGTTTGTGAATACGGACGTAGATATATTGGTCACGATCGAACGAATGAACAGTCAAACGAATGAATGAGTGAATGGAGTTTGAAATTGCGGCGTTCATTTAGACATTTTGTATAAGATGTAAATAATCTTTTTTATTTTGGGAGTATTCACATTGTGTAATCCGTGCTAATAGAAACTGGAAATTTTTAAATAAACGACTCGAGTCTAAGGCGGGAATCGAACCCACGACCTTTCGCTTGCCGGGTGACTGCTCTTCCAACTGAGCTACTTAGACACTGGATGAATTTTTACAACTAACTTTAACAGTAACTAAAGCCTGGTCTGCGAGCACGTAGAATTTTGTCCAATGACCCCAAGATACCCATCCTTATCGCTCGCGCGTAATTATGTTGCTGTCGCGCTCGCACACTCACTGCGGGCGCCCGGCCCGTCGCACAGTCGCGAGCTATACAGGCTGTAATTTTTATCAGATTTTAGTCGGTTCGATTCCCGGGTGTGGCAAGCGAATTTTCGGAAATCTTTGAATGCAGTTCTCTTTCTTTTCACAAATAAAGCAATAATAAATAAATAAATAATAATAAATAAATCTTTGGACAATTTCACACAGCGCCAGCTAGCCCCAAAGTAAGCAACTTAATGCTTGTGTTATGGGTGCTAGCTTAACGGATATACTACTTATATACTTTTTTTTAAATACATAAATATTATACACTAGCTTTCCGCCCGCGGCTTCGCCCGCGTGGAATTTTGTCTGTCACAGAAAAACTTTATCGCGCGCGTCCCTGTTTCAAAAACCGGGATAAAAACTATCCTATGTTCTTTCCCGGGACTCAAACTATCTCTATGCCAAATTTCATCAAAATCGGTTGCGAGGTTTAAGCGGGAAAGCGTAACAGACAGACAGACAGACAGACAGACAGACAGACAGACAGACAGACAGACAGACAGAGTTACTTTCGCATTTATAATATTAGTTGGGATAGTCACATCCAGACCCGTCACAGAAATTAAAATTCATCAATTCAATTTCTGCCCGGCTGGAAATCGAACCCGGGACCTCTCGGCATAGTAGTCCGTTCTTGAACCACTACGCCAAACGGCCGGCAATGTTTCCATTGAGTAAAATTTTCTATCTACAGTATTAAGAATAGGTATTTTCCCTTCAGGTTGCATTACAAATTTTCAAATATTTCCACCCTGTATAGTTGTTGCAATTCACGAAGGCGAGTGAGCTTTACATGTGTGGTGGCTCGCTACTGTTCGTTTTTCAGAAGTTTTGATAGACATTACACTATCTTTGTGTGCATGTACACGTACACACAAGTAAAGCTCACTCGACTTCGTGAGTTGCAAGAACTGTACCAAATTATAGTCTGGTCTGCGAGCACGTAGAATTTTGTCCAATTAAATAATTACGCGCGAGCGATAAGGATGGGTCTTGGGGTCATTGGACAAAATTCTACGTGCTCGCAGACCGGGCTTTATCAGTGTCTATAAGTGCGGAATAGTGTGTTTTTTATGATATTTCATGTCATAGAATGCACGATATTAATGTGGATGTACCTTTTAAGCTGTTGGATGTATGCAATGTAATTATGAATTTATTTAAAGAGATACATTTAGCTTTTTTGCTAATACATAAATAAACAAAGACAGGCGCTACATAGATGCGATTATTTTGTGATTTTTTATTTCGCAAAGTTAACTTCGAACTCCTCCTATGTTCTTCTGATTAATTTCGTTGCGGGTCCAATGACAGTTTAACTTTCCCCCGGGACAAACTTGACCTTCACTGGTTGGGTTATTGGTCAAGCTGTAGATCCTGGCTACACAGGAGTTGCAGCGGTGGGAACGAGAGGTGGGAATAGAATTTTTTTAGAATTTGAATTTGTAACAATGTTTTCACGACTAATCGCATCTGTGTGGCGTTCATACAAACGTGCATTATGGCGCTAGAGTGAGCCTTAGTATTTAATGTAAGCTAGGTACATGTTTATTTCTAATAAATTATTATTTTCGACTTATGTGTTTTATTTAAAGAAAGAAGTCGTTATAATTATTCCCGTTTTCACCATTTTCAAGTGACCCCTTTGAAAACCTAATTAATGTTATGTGTTACCATAGGGGTCACTTTAAATTAGGGATTGATGCCCGTTTTCACCATCAATCCCTAATTTTTAAGTGACCCTCATGAAAACAAAATGCCTGTTATGTGTTACCATAGGGGTCACTTAAAAATTAGGGATTTATGGTGAAAACGGGCATAAGTCCCATACTAGATAGGGCCCAAATAAAATA